GCATCCAGCAGAAACGCGATCGAATTATTATCGACAAACACGATTCGATGGAAGCTTTGCGATATCACATATTGTAGTGTAGGCGATGATCGTCCATATAAATAATAATAGTAAGCCGGACTCATGTCGAATGTCGCGCTAACGCCGCAAAAGTGCATCCGCGATGACTCGAATAAATATTCATATTTCGCTGCGTGGCTGTTAATAAATAACCAGCCACGCGCGTGCAACATTTAATATGGGGTAAACAATGAAAAATGGTCATATTTTTGTCCTTTATTTATTTCGATAGATGCAACTTTTGCGTACATTCGACATTCGATTATGACAAATATGGTATATATTACAATATGTTTGCCCACGTTTACTTCAACTTCAATTTTTTTTTAACGCGGTCAAACTCTGAATTGCAGTCTATCACCGGATCACTCGGGTATCGGTCGTCGTCCACGAAAAAAAAATGATTCGCGTTTAGACGCTGCACTTTGGATTATTACAGCAGCGCGTGAACAAGAACGAGAAGTCTGTATTGCTGTGTGATAAATTTATACCGCATCTCGAGGTCTTTCGTCAGTCACATGATCGATAACGTGCGAATCGTTGACACTTAAATGCGCGTATTTTTCTGACTCGGAATAATATAATCTACTTTATAATAAAAATTAATTTTTAGCATTACAAAAAAAATTTAAAGAGTAATTATATGTAGAAAATAAAATCCAATTATGCGGTGCCATTTTCACTTTTTTGATCTTGATTAAAATAAAATTATTATCAATTATCATTCATATTCATATAATTATTATTCATTCAACCAAATGTTAAGCAATTTAATATCTCCGAATCTTTTTACAATATAAAACGAGAAGAACCAAAATTTCATTGATTATATTATATAAAAAATCGGATGTTAATATCGCAGAGATAAATCGAAAGAAAGCACACGAACTTGCGAGACATTTCTGAGATGTATATAGAATGATACATGGAAATTTATTATAATACCATTATTATTGACGTCAAGTGGAAATAGAAAAAGGTTATCAGCTGTATAGGGGGTCCTCGATAAACTTTCTGTTTCCGCGGAAAGTTTCACACGCGACACAAGCATCCGTTTATTTATAATTGCACTTTTCTAAATCTTTTTTTTTCTCTTTTTCTTTTTCACGGATGTGTTTCATTATATTTATTTCATTTAAAATCCTCAAAAAGAGAAAAAAAGTACAAAGTTCTTTAGACAGCTCGTAGAGTATCACATTAGAACTACAAACTCTCGTGAGTGGATTTCACGTGTGTTACCAAACTAACGTACACGAGAGAATCACGTGTGCAACGAAAACCACTCGGAGCACACATGTATACATAATTTAATCTCTCTTGAACTTGAACTTGTTCGCTTTTTATCAGGATGTTCTTTTCTTTTTTTCAGTAATTCTTTTTCTTTTCCATTAATCAGTAATTAAATGTGGCAAGAAATGATGCTATGGTAATAAAAATCGACACCTTTAAATAACAAAAAAAAGCATTATGCAAATAAGTGACAAAACATGCGTTATAAAAGAACGAACTAACTCAAAAAAGTCGGCATAAATTAACTTTGCGTGATTTTTTTTTCTTTCTCTTTTCCACATTAAAAAACTATATCAAAACAGATTGTTATGGAAACTTATCCTTTGAGAAAGAAATTACGTTTACAATTTTTGAAAAAAACAACAATTGATATAAAATTTTTTGTTTCATAAGATATGCAATAAAAAAAAAAAATTAATGACTACTTTTTGTAAGAGCTATTATTTTTCTTCTTATTTAATTAGATAAGAGAAAAGCTTCTTGATTGCCATCTAACGGATGAGCAGTGACCACGTGTAACCAAAATACAGTTGATATGCTAGATAACTGCTATACGTCATGCAATTTTAAATCATAAACAAAACATTAATTTATTAATTTTAACAATTGACGTTTTTATCTAAAAATTGATATATCAAGTAAAGTATGTAAAATATAAAATGTAATATTATATATATCCAAGGAAAAATTAATTATAATAATTTTAAAATATTATGTTCCTTGAGAAATACATAATATCACTAATGAGACATACAATTATACGGTATATTATAATTATACATAACGTGTTAATTATATTAACACGTTATTTTCTTGTATAATGAACTCGTCAATTTGGAGGAATTGTAAGAGCAAAACGCGATGAACCTGCAGGAAACCAAATGATACCCCTCGGAAGGGAGCGTCTGCTGTATACCCTCCCTTTTCCTCTCTACCTTAATAAAGGATACTCTTTATCTACACGATTAGTACACGTGAGAGACGTATATTTAACACCACCACCGGCGTCGGCTCCGCCACACGTCGAGTTCCCGGGAAGAAAGGCGATAGCCGCCGTGGATCCAATTTTGTCTGTAGATCGAGTTTCGTGCCCTTCGCGTGCGCGCGCGCGCGTGTCTGTGTAGATTCATGTTAGTATAATATAATAATAGAGTCGCGAGGCGAGACGCACACATAGATAAGGAACGTCGCGTCGTGTCTCACGACCAATCCTTCCGAGAAGATCCTCGTTTTCGTCTGACCGCTGATTCATCCACGCGAGAATATCGCGGATTAATAGTAGCAAGAATATACGAAAAATAGACAGATTGAATGGAATCAACAATGGAAATTGATTCCACGAAATTGTAATCCGCGATCTTCGTGAGAAATGTGAGTCTTCATTTAAAAATATTACAATTGTTTAAATTCTTTCCTTTTCCTTACGTTGAATCTTTCCTTTTCTTTACATTGAATTTTATATTATCTTTCTATAATATAAAATATTTAAAAATAATCATATAAAATATTTAAAAAATTAAATATGATTTTTTCTTCTAATTTAATCTAAATTAACAAAATCTTTAATTTCTTTTTAATTAGATCAGATATATCATAATAATAATCGATGATTTATTTTTTCCTAAAGAGATATATTATTTACGCTCTAAGCACCGCATCTGGATTCCAATTGGCCTTTCTTTTTGTTTATATTTTAATTTATTTTTTTGTCACCGAGTTCATGTATTCTTGTCTAAATAATCAAGCGATACTAAAATCTCTAAAAGACGTCGTAAACACGTTTTAAAGATGTGTCGTTCTTTTTAGGCGTATTCTACACGCTTTTTTTAGATTTTTGCGTTTTTTGTAAACGCTCTTTTTCAAAAGACTTTGTATCTAGTCGTAATCGAGATTAGTACAAAACAAATGTCTATGAGAAAAACTTAAAAAAAAATTTTACTTTGCAAATCTAGCAGTTCCGTCGTTGTTTCACCGTTAATTCATTCATCGCAGTGAAATGAAAATCAAAAGATTAAAGTACGGACGATTGGCATAAACAAGTGCTGAACGTTTCTTTTCTTTATTCATCAGAAATGCCAAAGATCCGTGAGAACGCAGGCGAATTTTTGCTTTGTACATATTAAAATTTACGCGCGTCGCAACGTTGAACCGTGATAGCGCATGCATCGATCACGCGTGACTGAAATGTCACGGCGCATAGTGGCATAAATATACATATATATACATACATACATACATACATACATATATATGTATTTAAAAAATTAAATAATTGATTAATTTAATAATGAATTAATTTAATAATTTGATTTTTTCTTCTAGTTTAATCCAATTCAACAAAATCTTTAATTCCGCAGATATAAAGTACTTAATTTCACAGAGATAACTTTCTGTATATATGTGTGCGTGTGTTGCAAATTAATATGCGTTAATATAAACGTTTCTTGCCTTCGGGACTGCACCGCAAAAAATGAATAAACAGTATTGCAAAAGCTTTTATCTTTCCCTCAAAATTAAATCCTTATTTCCTGGATTACATAGTTTAATTGATCTCCCTTGCAATTCCTTCATCTTGATACAGTAACGACATTTTATATATCTTATGGACGATTAGATAAGTAATCTTTGCAATTTCTTCTAGAATAAAATGCAACGATGTAACTAAATGTAACGGACCTTATATTAGAGAATAAAACAACACTAACATGTAATAATCTTTTTTTGTTAAAAAAGTATTTAATTATTCAATTATTGCATATAAAATAAAAGTAAAAAATATATAAAAAGGTTTGAAACTCATTTTTTATTTAGAAAATTAGGCATTCGTGAGTTTATAGATTAAAAAAAAAAATTGCTGTATATGTATAAAAAGAATTCTTATAATTTATCTAATACCCGTTGTAAAAAAATTTTCATAATCACGTTAGCATGGAATGAATAAAAAAAACTATCACAATAAGAGAAAAATAAGAGACCGTATTACATATGTTATATTATAATATTGCAATACGAAATAACGGTACTTTTAGTTCGACATCCCGTAAGTACGGCATTGAATACGGCATCAGTTTAACCTTCAAACAAAAGCGTCTAAAAATACGTACAACTCAAAGTCGCACGTTGTAGTTTATATAAAAACATGTATTATTTTTTTGATCTTTTTATTATTAATGAATCTAACAAATGAGAAAAATAGAAATACTAATGTTTCAATTGGAAGTATACTCCCAGATAGCACAAGTCCCTAAAAGACAACTTGAAAACGTCTTATTGTTTTTTAGACATTTTTAAAATGTCTTTTGGTTTGGCTGTCTGGGACTTGTTTAAATTTTATTATATTTTATTCTCTCCTATACATACTAAGAAATAGAGGAAAGAGAGAGAATAAATTGATGATTGATTTTTTCCTGCTCTAAGCCATTTACGGAAAATATAAATTGTCACTTAGAATAATAGCATGATCGCGCAAAGCTTAATACTTCGAAGATATAATCAATAATAATATTAATATTGCCCACACACACAAATTCTAGCATCAAAATGTTTAATAATTCCTTCCATTGCAATTTCAAACGATTCAAGCAGATTTTGAACTAAAATAGATAAGTCAAAACACCTCTGGCGATTAAAAAACATCAAGATGTGCCTACCTTTAATGTCGAATTTTTCCGCGAAACGACGCGCATCACGAAGAACGTTTCGTATCACGGGAGGCGAAGGTGCAAAGTCTGGATCGTCCGCGTCGAAGGATACATTTTCCTCGAATTCTGTCATTGTTGTCATCTCTGTCATGCTTCGGCCAGTATTATGACGAAGAACACGCCTAAAGAAAGAGTCTAAAACGTCAAAGATAAAACAAACCGTCTCGTTAAAATATCATTTATTATGACACCGTAAAAACACAGGACCATTACGAAACTTTATTACAACAGTGTATTCATTCTAGTTATAAAATGATATATGTGTTTGTCATTACATAACTGTCTCATCTAAAACGATTTATTCTCTCAAATATTCAAGAAAGATACGTTCGAGACATCGCGCCATATCGTTCGGTCACGATAAACCTTTCGCTGCAATTCAAGTCATTGGGCAAGTTTTAGGCTAAAGCCGATACTAAAGTCGCGTGATTACTTTGCGCGATCACGCAAAGAAATAGCGATAATCGTTACCTGTATCGACGATAATCACGCCGGCATTCCGTCACCGTCGCGGCATTCAATATCACGACTTTACGGAAGTTTTAGAGAGCCGCTATACGTTCCTCCGTAATCTTTTTTCCCCCCGATGTCCGCCCGCGACGCGAAGCGGCGGCTGACTGACACCTGACGCGTGTTATCGCGCGGGAAAATCGCCACTCACAGACAGACGGACGATGCGGAGCCAACGTCAGGCTGCTTTCTCAGGCACGTTTCTCCGATTTCAGACGATCTATAATTTTCGCGACGGACAATTTAAGCTTATTTCCGAATCTTTTAAAATTCACATTTCGGAAAAATAATAATGATTCAGAATTACGTTTTTCGGTATATATATATATATAACCGGATGCACTGTGATCAAATCGGCCCATTCAGCGATCTTATATAAGCCATATCTGTATTGCAATGACACCGTGTTGCCGATATCGCCAAACTTGCGATCCTCCATCAGTAGGAACTTGTGCCGCTTTGCTAGCTCCTTTAGCTGAAGAATAAAATTCTCGTTAAAATTTTCTATGATATCCACGTGAGTTTTCAGCACAGCGATGTGAGGCCCAACTATGTTTGCTAATTCTAAAATCGCGTCCGTCTTTTTCAGATCGGCCGCCAGACAGAGATTGGTTTGCTTAGACTCCATTAGTTCCAGCAATTTCGAGGCCAATAGATTTTTTGCTAATTTTGCGCGTTTACAGTATGGCAGCTTCAATCTGTTATCTGGTACAGCTATACTGCCTATAAGCAAAAAACGGCAAATAATTATGTGATAAATTATATATAAGCCATATATATCAATCTCTGTCAAAATAATTTACCTTGAATAGAAACGGTCGATGCCTGATTCTTTGTCAGATAATTGTCAACGTCCTTGACAACTTCCAGCGTGATCTTTCCAGCCTCAAGAAGATACTGCATGAGCTGCGTGATTGTGTATAAACTCTTGACCTTGATTCCATGATTCTCAAGATTCTTTCTGCCACCTTGCTCTCTATCGATTACCATATATGCTTCTGTTACATTCAGATGTTCCTTCTTCAAAGCATCAACAGTTTCCAAAATACTGCTACCGCTCGTGATGACATCCTCGATGATCACACAATTATCACCAGGCAAAAACACACCCTCAATCAGCTTCTTTGTGCCATACGATTTTGTTTCCTTTCTCTTCATTAACATTGGAATCCCGTTGTCAACTGAGATCAGGGTGGCTAATGGCAACGCTGTGTACGGAACTCCGCAAATTTGAGATACTTTTGTAACATCATCCGGAAGAGTCCACAGAGCTTTCGCCAAATTAGACTACAATAAAAAAATTAATTAGTATATATCGCTTATATATCTTGTACAAATTTATCACGATTCTCTCGTATATGTTACACATTAATATATATACCATTAGTTTCGGGTATGAAATTATCACCCGCAGGTCGAAATATACCGGCGTTCTTAAGCCGAGTTTCATCTTAAAATCTCCGAATTTCAGAGCCTGGACATCGTACAATTCTATGGCCAACTTTTTCAGCAATTCTTCCATTTTACTGTGTAATAGCCTTCCTGGCTATTAAGCGGTTATTTGAATTAACCGCAGATAGTTAAGGATGCGTAGAAGGTCGGAAGATGCCGGGAAAAAGGCTAACGGAAAGGATTGTTCTTGAGAATGATGTTCACCAGAAAATGCTCCGTGGCTGATGAATGACTTCAAATATAAATATATTCTACCAAATGCACAAATGGATACAAATCTCTTCGTGTCTAGTCTACGAACAGTCGTGTATTCGCGAACAAAAACGACTTTATAGAAAACGCTTAGCTACCGCTTAACGACTCGAAGGCCAAACACCGAATAGCGTCCGCACGCGGTCCTCACTTATCTTAAGGTGCCATTACATGGCAGCATCGAGCATCGATCGTTTGCGCAGAAATCATTGCGCAGGAATATTTGCAGCAGGAGCAGAGAGAAATCTGGGAGAGATCACGCTGCCGTTTTTCTAGCTGATATAGTAGCGCCAACCGCGCCAACTGGATATATTTTAAAGCCGGCGAAACTACATGGCCAAATTCACTTTTTGGTGCCACGGTAAAACAGCCTGTTGGTGCATGTCCGTGCTAGATCCGTTATGTAAAGAAGAAAAAGGAGGGAACAATGGCTAGATCCTAGATCCATTTTTAAAAAGTCGAGAGCACATTATCTATATTTATATTATATTGCTAATGTTCTTTCCGATGATTGCAATGCTTCAGACACCAACTGGCGTATAAGCAAATTCTCTATAGTAGCCTAAACAGCTACATAGAATTTTTTATTCTCTTATAGTTGGAAAAATTAATTTATATAAATCAAGATTATATAAAAATTTACCTTTGGAAATATTTATGAAAAAAATGAAAAATAATGATATAGCAAGAAAAAAAAAATCATTACAAAAAATCCAATCAAAAAGGATTACGTGTTTTAATATTATGAATCACATATTTTATTAAATATATAATTTACTATATATACTTATTACTTTAGTAGATTTTATTATACACACATGCAGTATTATTATTTACTAATACATATATATATATATATATTTTGTTATTTTTTAATTCTGCAAATTGCATATACAAAAATCGTTATTTTATTAAAAATGGTAAATATACAAATATGATATTTCTAAAAATATGCTTAAGAAAATTTAAAAAAAATTGCATTTAATAATAAAAAAATAATACATTTTATATAACAAGATTATATAATTGTTATATATAGGTTTTGTCCAATCGTCATACTAAAATTTTAATCATCTTCATCTTCGACTGTTTTTAAACTACCAAATACTTGTGATGGTATAGTTCGTTTTTCAATTGGTACATCTGAAAATAAATAAACATTATTAAAAAGTGATTTTGTGTGTGTGTTTGTGTCTGTGTACATGTGCCTGTGTGTATAATATATAACATTTTTTATTTTCTCCACATTAAATTTCGATGACAGATTTATATTTATTAGTTTAGAGTTGATATTTTCTTAATAAAGATTGTCAATATAACAACAGCTTTTCAAGATCAATGAAGATAGAATGTAATTGAACTTTAAAAGATAACAATCTTATTCTTCATCGATCATTTAAATTTAAAAGAACTTCTGATTATTATAAAATCATTTTAATTATAAAAGTGTTTAAGTGTTTAATGTTTAAAGATAAACATTTAAAAAATGCTTGCGACAAATGATAAGTTCTCCTGACATATTTATGAAAAATGTCATAAAAAGTTAATATAATGGAAATTTAATTCTGTGTATATAATCTCACTAATGTTGAAAGAAACAGGAAAAAAAAGAGCTTATATATATAAATAAAAAACATTTAAATTTTGAAACTATTTATAAATTTATCAATCTACCTTCTTCTATTTCTTCATCGTTTTCATTTTCGTCATCTATATCGATATCAATCTCATCTGGATTATTTACAGAAGATTCTGGTTTACCATCTTTCTCTGTCACACCACGTACAAACTTAATACCTTTTCTCATATCAGCAGCATTGTCTGCAAATTAAGATTTGTTAAGATATCTTTTAAAAAACAAAGAAAATAGAATACTAATTTCTAATTACCTGTGATTTTACTATCTAACAAGCGCATAGCATCCATTGGAACATCTAATATTTGGTTAGATGCATTATTCAACATTTGTGCAGACATCATGTTTACTTGAGTATTATACATAGCTTGCACACTACGCTTAATTCGAAGCATTTCACGCATTGTATCCTCATTTCCATGCCTAACTTCAAATTCTTTCCAAATTTGCCAGAAGTTTGATGTGACCTATATAGTATTTTAATTCAATGTATGAGAAAAGAGTTATATATACAAAGTATCTCAGTTTAATCTCGCGTAGAGACACGCGATTATTTCCGAAATCACTAGTTATTCAAAAAAATGTTTCAGAAATTTGCTCTATCAAGGTTGTCATATCCCAAACAGAATAAGTTGCAGCTGAAGTTTTTGAATAACTAGTAATTTGAAAATAATTGCCTGTTAAATTAAAATAAATACACTGTATGTGTAACGCTGTCTTTTCCACTACGATATATTATAAATACATATAATACAGCATACCCTTGGATCACATATTTGACTACAATGTGCGTATATCGCTCTCGCTCTGTCTACTTCTCCTAATTTGGTCTCCATTTCTGCGAATCGTAAACACATTTCTCTAGTATTCTCATCATTTAAGACTTCTATAGCCTTTTCGTATATCTGTCGAGTTTTCGGCACTCCATATATGTCTGCAGCTTTCTTTATATATATATTGAACATCTGCAAATTGAAAAATTAATTTTTAAATTTGGAAATCAATATATACACAAAAGATTAATAAAAGACTGCAAAATATATAAGTATACTGCATCTATACATATCTATAAGTATAAATCTTTTTACATAAGAATTGTTTCAAGATTATGCATAAACTATTAGCATATATATATATATAAATATTACATCTTCTAAATCTGCATACATAGACCATACTTTTAAAGATTTGTATAATCTCATTTGCACTGTTTCTGTTTCATCATGATATGCCACTTTTCTAGCTGGCATTGTAGTAGCACGATGCATGAGTTTCAAAGCTTCTTTACAATTTCTGTATAACGATAATACATAGAGGACTTTTATTTCAATTTAATTATTCTATGATTTAACAAGCAATTTTTCATAACATTTAGCTATTTGTATATTGATTGCAAAACAAACATGATATTTAAATGAGTAAACAAAACTTACCCATGTTTGATTTCTATTTCTGCCCATTCACACCACACGGAAGCAAGATCATCTAGTATATATACTAATTATAATAATATATAACATATATATATTCATTTATAAAATTCGTATGTTTTTTACCTTATGTGGTTGCCCTTCATAAAGCTTAATTCTTTTGTGCCATTCTGCTACATTATGTGGATTTTGTCGTAATAATACAGAATTGAGTAACAATAATCTCCTTTCCATAAGATGTTCCAATCATGCTAGTCTCAATTCTAATTTTATATCATCTAAAACAAAAAGATATAGTTAATAATCAAATTTATAATAAATATGTGAACTTATGTATTGTATAAGTTATTAGCAAATTGAATTAATATACATATTATTTACCTTCTTCAGTGGGATTTTTTGCTGCTTCTTCTATAAGTTTTTTAAGACTAAGTTCTCCAAATTGTGCATAAGCATAAAAAACTTGAGTAAAATCTCTGACTGTAGTAACAGTTTGTATAGCTTCTTCATAAATATCTCTTGCCTGAATAATATTAAATACACATTTGATAAATAATAATTCGTAAAGAGAATATAAAAGACCACTTCAAACATAGTAATATGCTAGTGAATTCCATAAAGGTCCCAATTGATCTGTATAACGTCTTAATCCACCTCTAATAATAGCATCTACATTTAGGGACTTTATTTTAGCAGGATTTTTTGATATTAAATCACATAATTCATTCCATAATTGATGATTAGATTTTCCGTGTTTTGATACAAAATCATCTTGATTGACAATCTGTGCAAGTTTTATAGCACCCTCATCAAGTCTACCAACTGATATTAGATATATTCTTCTGTATCTTCTGGTGCCAACTATACATATATACAAAATACATATACATATATATAAATTTATATAAAACAGATAAAATAAAATATATACATAATAAAACTTTTGCCAAAAACAAAGTTTTCTCAACTCTTAATGTGTATATTTATATTAATCAAAAACATGACAAATATATAATAGTATTAATTATAATATAAATTGTTACAAATATTAGTATTATTAAATATATTAGTGTTCTTACCTTTAAATATCTTCTAAAGACCCTGACAGCAGTCTCATAAACATTATGTTTCTTTAAGAAATTAATATATAATGGCCATATACGATGATGCTGAGTGATGGGAAGTGCTCTAAGAGAACGATCAAATACCTGACGTGTTCGTGTTATATAACATTGTTCAGTCATTAGTG